CAGCTAAAGGTTCTCAGAAGCAGCTAAAGGTTCTCAGAAGCGGCTAAAGGTTCTCAGAAGCAGCTAAAGGTTCTCAGAAGCAGTGAGATGTTCTAAGAACCGGGCGATCGCTCACCAACAGAGGCCCGGATGGTGGTGATGTCATAGGTCTCCAGGTGGAAGATGACGTCCTCCACGGCTTTGATGCCCTCCTCTGCTGTGAACGTCACCGTGTGATGCTCGCTGCCGATGTGGGCCGCCACCTGACGACACAGAACCCAGTCTGGACCTTACAGAAGAAAAAAAACGCAGCGAACAGCACCAGGAGCCACTGAACCCACACACGGCGTCCGACTGGGACTGACCTTTTTAGCAGCGATGACATCAGGACTGTCCTCTGACCCGATGGAGAAGGTCTGGATGGAGTACGGCAGCTTCTCCTCTTTAGACAGTTTCAGCAGCGTTGCTGCAACCAGACTGGAGTCCAGACCTCCTGAACAGAGAACCAGCAGAACATCAGAGATGAGAAGCAGCTGTACCAGCTGTCATATTCAGTGTGAACACCAGGGGGCGATGTCCANCCAGCTGTCATATTCAGTGTGAACACCAGGGGGCGATGTCCATGCTGCAGTTAACAGAGATCGTTGGTGCAGGAGGATGCAGCTTTGCTCTGCTGTTGGAGTCTCGCTGCATCTCTGAGTTTTTACGCCTGAGACGACTTGGAGGAGCAGCTGGAGCCCAGAGGAGCTTCGTTACCATGGGAGCAGGTTAGCATAGGGACCATAGGGACATGTCCCTACCAACATTTGGACCGACCTACTTGTCCCTACCAATAATTCAATGTGAACAACATAATTTTCCAGCTCCTGTTTCCTGTCCCTTTCACATAGCAGCGCATGGAACTGTGCTGCTTTAAGTTCCTCCTTCTCTCTTTCTGATTGTTTTCTAGTCTGGATGAGTGCGTGAAATTAATATTAGGCTAGGAAACTAGTCCCAATTAAAAAACTAAATATAATCTAGGCTAAAAGAGGCGAAAGGTTCTGATTGCAGTTCTGTAAAGAAGCAGGAGAGAGTTTGGATTTGATGAACTTAAATGAAAGAAACCAACGTTAGGATTTATTTTTCAAACTAAATATTCTGAGTCAGACGAGTTCAGAAAACTGCTGTTAAAATGAACAAAGACTGTAAACTATCAACATTTCTGATTCCCTTTAACAATATTTCTTTGCTATTAATGTTTTCATTTTGACAGCAGTTCAGGTATAAATAACAGCTTTTATTTCTTTTGTAGAACATAACATTAGAAGGATGCTGAAGATCTGCTGCTTTTTGTTTTCCACATAAAAATAGTTCCATCTAGAAATAGGATAAAGACAAACAGAGGAAATCTATTTACACTGATTCTATTTTTCTAGATTTCCACACGTCTATAAGTAAATTAGTACAAACATTAATGTCTTGTAAATAATGCTTGAATCTGGCTGTTTATTTTCGATATTATTACATTACAGATAAAATAGTGTTATATTGTCTTTTAATTGTTAAAGTGATTTTATATTTGAATAAACTTTGGCTGATTCTTAGTGTTGTGTTTGTAGATGATGCCACTAAAAAAGAAAATAGACATAAGGAGCTATTTAAACAGTCAGACAGTGAGTAATATAGGATGATGATAAAAGGTTGT